TCATACTTATTAAAAGATAGAATCTGTTAAGATCATGATTTTAGTTCAGCTAAGCCGCATTACTGAAGAAGAGATTTTTTCAGCTGCCCAGACCAGACCAGACAGTTGCTCTATAAAATGTAATCCTAGCACAGACTTTTAAGTCAAAGCAAAGAATATAGATGGAGATCAATTGTAGATAGTTGTAATTGTATATATAGGCTTGATCTGCTTATCATGAGGAGAAATAAGAATAATATATGGCTTCTATATAGCTATGATATGGACTCGGTTAGGCATATATTATATAAGAAAGTCAAAGGTAACACTGCTATGTTTCCTATATGTGAATGAAATGTTATAGAAGCTATCATACTTATATGAGATGATAGGAGATGATATAAATTTATAGAAATGTAAGCAAATATTTTTCATGAGGAGATAATGGACAAGTGATTTGCACAAATGTGACAAAGATATATGTGGACATGATCTCAATAGTTAGCTACGATAAAAGTAGAATAAATATGAAATAGAAATATGTTAGATATATAGTATAGTTATGATTGAGATACGATCAGAAAATAATAAAGATGATTACAGGTGCGATATAAACTATAAAGATTCGCTCAATAAATTATTAAGTTAAGACAAGGAACTGATAAAGATATAGCCCATTATGGATAATGAACTTTTTGAGGGCTGACAAATAGAGTACCGCCCACTGTACCCCTAGAGCAGTCATTTGTTCAGTCACAGTGTTTAGTCTATGAGTCTGAAATATTTCATATGCAAAGCGAGGAGGCAACGAAAAATAAAATTATGAAATGTTTAGAACAAAGACCAATGTTAAAGTTGCTCAGTGGAGTGGAGTGGCGAGGCGGGGAAGGGGAAGGGGGAATGGGGAAGGGAACTCAAGTGATCTTCGCATATTTATTTGTAAATCGTGTTGTTGTTGTTGTCGTCGTTTTGTGCTTTTGCTGTTTGCTGTTTGTGCGCTCTCCTTACACATTTATTTACAACAAATGCTGTTCGCGTTTATTTGTTGTCTTGTCTTGTCTCATGTCTGTGGTGTCCATTTGGGCGTACGTCCGACACTTGGCGACTCTATTTTTAGGCCTTGGCTTTGCAGCAAGCGACACACACACACACACACACACACACACACTCACACACAACAACAAGGGTGGGGAGCGAAACACACAGGCAGCTAAGCAATACGTTATTACAAAATGCATACGTCAGTTGTTGGATGGCAGCCAGCCAGCTAGCCAGCTAGCCAGCGAGAGTTGTTACATCTTGATATTGTTGTTGTTGTTTTTTTGGTCAGCCTGCCTGCTCGCTAATGGGGCGTGGCAGGGCCAGGCACAAAAAAGGGCAAGTGGATGACTAATTGCACGCATTGGTTCGCCACTCTGGGGAGCCCCAGAACCCGTGCTCTGCCTCTGCCACTGCCATAAGGCGGAAGTACTGGGCATGCGAATTTGTCAATTGATAAAGCTAACTAACGGCATCTATTGCTAGAGGGGGGATGGACAAGGCACACAGACAATGCAATAGAATGCAATGCAACTTTGTACAAAGTGTCGACACTTGAGTCTATTTATTTATAAATACTTTGCTTTTGTTTTAGTTTTTAGTGGTCGAAGTGTGCCAGCTTGAAGGCATCCCGCTTGAACTTGAGCTGAAGTGCAAAATATACACACATATACATATACTATATATGTATATACATATGTACTTACGTATGCGAGTTAACTCCCTACCCCGCCATAGATCTTGCCAATAGTCAGCGCAATGAATTGTTTAATCGAATGCTGGACACAATCGACTCCGACAACTTTTCCAATGAAAATTGCATGTGAGAAAGCAAAAAGTTTGGACATGCTTTAGATACATACATACCTAAATACATATACAAGTATATATATATATATATATATATATATATATATATATATATATATATATATATATATATATATATATATATATATATATATATATATATATATATATATATATATATAAATATATACACATGTGTGTGTATATTTTACATGCATGTGTACATGAATCATGCATTATATGCGGCCACATGTGATCGACAGGCAGCAACATCTTGTGTCCATATGTTGTACAAACAAATAAAAGCAGAGATCAACCAAAAGCAGCAGCAACAATGGGAATGGGAATACATATCTTGGAATGTGCTGTGAAGACAGAAGTCAGCCCCAGTAGGAGAAAGATATTGCTGGAGAGGGAGAGGGGGGCAGAGTACAAATGAATTCGTTTTAAATTTGATTTGCCGTTGCTGTTGCTGCCTGCCAGCCAGCCTGCCTGCTTGTCTGCAAATATTTTGACAGTTCTGTGACAGGAAAGTGGAGTGTGCAGCAGTATAGTGTAGTGTCTAACGATATCCAGCAGCTGTAGATCATCAGTCCAGTGTACAGAAATGCATTTACTTGTAAGTGTGCCCATAAGGCAGCAACTGGCGTTCGCCTTGACGTATACGCAATCACACCAAATATTACACATACGCCACGCATGCCCCAATATTTAACTTCTTATCAAACCGTTGTTGCTGTCCAGCCACATATGACCATGTACAATTAGTTAGTACGACTCATTTACAATATGACCTCATTTCACATATTTTCGCAGCTATGTAACGCCATAGTGTGTACTTCTGTGAAATCGCTTCCGAATGATAAGCATTCGCTCACTGCATTTGAATGGAGTGCAAGAACAACATCGACAACAACATACCACTTACTTGCATAATATATGTATTTGTGTTCTGTTTGGCACTTCCTTGAACTAGACTGGCAAAATATAGCTGCGATAAATGTGGATCATAAGGTCGAATGGACTTGAAGCATTCAATTAATTGATTCGGCAATTCAATACTATACATACAAGATTTTTCATACTTGTATTTCCCTCGTAAATTGAAATTGAAATTGCTTTTCAACTTTTCTAATTAGAAGTGCTGGGAAATGCAACTAAACAAAGTATAAGAATAATTGCATCTGATACATCTTGATATAAATAATACTATAAAGCAATATACTATACCTTTACTTCTTTGCGATTGACAGTCTAATAAAATCGCATGGAAAGTAACGCAACTAATTAGTTTATGTTTAAAGTAAATGCCCGTCTAACCAGCATTCTTTACAAATTCTTCAGAATCATATGCCCTGCAATATTGGCAATATTTTTCCAGATAGGTATAGTAAGGCCAAATGTGAAACACTAAGTCTTCTGTCTATGTCTTGTAGGCCTCCTTCTAAATCGATCTCACTGTTTTGTGGGTATTATTATAATAGCTGGATTCTCATTTTTTCCCTGCCGCTGAATTCGCAACTGGCTTTCGGGTATGGCAACGAGTATGACACTTAAGAGCCATCGAAAGCAACACCAATTCCGCAGACATGATTCAAAATATCGCGTGACATCACATTCGAGTGATAATCAGAGCATTTGTACTCCTTACCCACCCAATCGTTCACCCAATTCGGTCTTTTTTCTAACAAATCTGCCTCAAAAAATGGGCAAAGACAAATATGTTTGAACATGCGTGTAGATGTATTTTTAAAATATTATTTCATAGCATTATGGAGCGGCTGATAGGCGCACATATGGACTGACGACTACATGTCATTAACACGCTGATAAGACGCTATCAGACCATTATGATGGGGCTCATCAAGAGCACAAATAGACGACGCACACACTCGCATTCGCTCCACATAATTGCACATACGCGTATGTACGAGTGTATACATGTATAGTATATAGTATATATGAACATATTTGTATGTATATCATTTTTTAAGTGTGGACGTCGGCTAACAATTAGCAACAAGAGTACCACCCGAAATACCAGATAACCCCTGGGCCAACGGTCACGGGCAAGACAGCAAGACAACACAAGACGCGAAATTCAATTTTGATTTTATTTTTATATTCATAGCATACTACTATATGTATGTATGTGATGCTTTTCGAATTTTTAATGATGTTTTGAATCAAAAGGAAATTGTCGCGACCCAAAAATCCGGTCCGACGACCGACCAGGCGCTTAACAATTTGTATAATCGCCGAATTACATTGATAATCGCCGTTTGTTTGAAGAATGCAGAGTATTTGGGGTCGACGCAAGATTTCGTGCCTTTAATGGATCCGTGGCTCATATTCATTTCATTTTATTAATTTGTTACAAATAAGCCGAGCGAGCAGGTCGCTGGGGAGCTACAAGCTGAGGGACGCCAGAGTTTCTGACTCTCTAACAAAACAAATATAAAAACCTCCAATTAAAGCAACAATCTTTATGTTAATCACATTTCGATGTGTCTGGTGTTTGTTGTAATTTATGTTGTGCTGCTGTGCTTGTTGTTGTTGTCCGTCAATATGCCATGTAAATTAGTTCAAGTTCGTTGCCGATCTCGTTGTTGCTGTTGTTTCCCCCAATCTTGAACTGCTCAGCAGCTGTGAATGCATTTCCCAGCATAACGAGCGAGCGAGAGAGACAGAGACAGAGAGAGCGGAGGGAGGGCGGAGAGAGAAAAAGCAATGTGTGGAAATAGAATCATATGTGAAAGCCTTTCATCATCCGCATAAAATAACGAATACCCAACTCTCTCAATAGGTTCTGAACTTGTCAATCCATTCATTGCGTATGCACTGAGAAAAATTGGAATTCACTTGGAATACCAAATCAATATTTGTGAAATCTATATACTATTAGAATAATAATAATAGGTTCTGAACTTGTCACTCCATTCATTGCGTATGCACTGAGAAAAATTGGAATTCACTTGGGCTCCCAGATAAATATTTGTGAAATGTATATACTATTAGAAACGGAGAAAGCTCTAGCAAGAGGCATACGACTGATAGAATTAGAATTAGGGTCCAACCTGGGAGACTATAATTTCTAAAGATATATAAACATTTTTCAAAGAAATTGTTTTTCTACTTGGATAGAATAACGACATTAAGCACTCTTTACTCACCTTGATATTGTTTGCCGCTGCATGGCAGGCGTTCAGGATCAGCGCGAGGACTAGCAGGCGCCACATTAGTGACATCACATGGGACCGGGGTGATCCCATGGTTGTGGTGTGCTTTTTACAGATTTTCGGTATCGGTTGGTTTTGTTGCGTTTTATTTTAAATTATTCTATTTAAGGCAGTGTTCGTATTCGATGTCTGGTGTTTGTGTATTAGGAACGTGATACAAAAAAAAGGTTACGATGTCTATGGCACTGGAAAATACAAAATCAAAATAGGCATTCTATGTACATATACTTTACTCGTATAATTGCAATGGGAATACAAAAATTGTCAAAATTGACAAAACACAACGAGAAATGCTGACTTGCAGCGATGCGAACATTTTTGAAAATTTGGCATCAGCGAAAAATGTGATACCAAGAGCTGCCGCCAAGTGGCAACGAACGGCGAGAAAAAAAACCAAAAACCAAAAACAAACGAACGCAAAAAATCAAAAGGAGAATGCACAACTTGGCCAGAAATCGCCGGAACTGGCGATTGAGGGAAGGATTGAAGTGCAAATGTGGGGACACCAGCACAGGGATTGGGGAACTTTTAGTTAGAGTTCATAATTTTCTGGATCGGCGTTAACTTTAGGATGCAAGCTACGATTCGCCTGTTCACGCGCGCGACTTCTTGCCACTCCCTTTGCCGCTTCCTCCTTTTGGCTTATGCCAGAAAACAAAAACAAAACAAAAAACTACACCGGTCACTTTTCATTTCGGTTCGTTTCAGTTCAGTTCGGTATATCTGCGCGCTCGTCGCTTGTGGTTTCTTTTTTATTATTTTATCATCAATTTTGTGGCGTTTCGTTTAATTGTATTTTTGGCATTTCCTCTTTAGCCGGTCCAAAATGTGCGTCGATCGCCCGTAAAGAGACAAACAGAAACTTCAAAAAAAAAAATTGATTTCAGCGCGCGATCCTTTGCGCCAGTCACTGTCGATCGGTTTTATTATTGCAGTTGCTGTTGTGGTTTATCCTTTTGTTAGCACCACAGAAAAAAAATTAGCTAAATTAGCACACAATCGCACTTGAAAAAAAAACCGTGTATTAATTATGATATAGCAGATTGCATTTGAAACCAAATAACACCAACAACTGTGCCGGGCAGGTCGGCAGGCAGGCAGGCAAAAGAACAACGCACCGAAAATTGTGCGACCGTCTCGTACAACGGCGCGCAACCGAATGAAGAAGAATTTTGCTTGAGCGCCGACGCCGACGCTGACGCTGACGGCGACGATGGCGACGAAAGCGACAATGCTGCCAAAAGATACGAATGCGCACGAAAGCGCCCGAAGACGCAAGCAGACAAACACACAATACACACACACACACACGCATATATATATATGCATATAGCGACACCCACACATATACGTAGAGTAGCAGCGCAGCAGCGGAGCATTGAAGTTGACTGAAGTTTGCGCCTTTTTGCATTTTTCCCCGTAGCCTGGCCTGTGCGAGTTTTAAGTTCTTTAGCAAACAGGCAGACGACACAGATAGACATTGGCAACAGTAACAACAACAGCAACAACAACAACAACAGCACAAACTGACACTTGTACTTGCGGCTAAAAGCAAAAAGGTTTAGAAAAAACATAACGGCTTGCTGCGGTCGATGCCTGCATTTGGCAAGCCTGTTGCGTCTCTGTCTGTGCCACCGTCTGTCGTCGTGGGTGGGTTTGGGTGTCGCTCTCTCTCCCTCTATCTCTCTCTCTCTCTCTCTCTTGCTCTCTCACACTCTCACTCTCCCCCTGACACGCTGCACACGCGCCTTTCCCAGCCGTTCACAACGGCGCTGCGCCTGCTCAGCTGCCTGAGTCGGCTTCGATGCTGGCATGCGTATCAAAAGTTTATCACAAATATTGAGTTGAGAATTCTGGTTCAGTTTACGGTAATTTATTTGGGGAGGAACTAACTAACTTGTGCACTAATTTGTATTATTTTGACAAGACCCATATTTTACTATAAAATTCTATTTGGTTTTGATTAAAAATTATAAATGTAAATTAAATAATATAAGTAAATTATTTGATTACTTCTTAGCTCAGCTTTACTAAGCTAGTTCTTTACTATAAATCGTTCTTTCCGTTCATTTGAGCATTAATTGATTATATCTTCCGTTCTTCAGTATAGAAGTGTTCATTTATATTTGGCGACTGAAAGAGATTGGTAAGCCGGCTATCGCATTTTAATAACAACGATAATTTAAATAATAATTTAGCTATCTTTTTTGACAAGAAAACTATTTGACAATAGAGGGATAGAACTTTGGATACAGCATCAAGTATTTCCACTTTATCCCAGATATTTATCAACGTCTGCCACTCTATTTTATTCCATAATCAGAATAATCAACATAGTAGAGGAACTTGGCTTATAAGTTTTGTTCATCAGTTCCTTTGGAAGGTGTGATCATAGGGAACTAGCTCGGACCGACCGACCGCGCTAAGCTTCTGTTGTTTTCTCTGCCGCTGCCTCTGCCACTGCTTTATCGCCAACAGGATGCCCTGGACTATTTTCGCTGCATAGCAAAATAATAAAATAATAAAAAATAAAAAAGCACACATTTTAAAAAAATTGTGTGTGCTGTGTGTTAGCTAGATTGTTTGTTGGGCCTGCGACTTGCGGCTTTATCAGCACACACGCATTTTATTAAATGGAGCAACAACAACAGCCACTGCCACAGCCACACACACAACTCATGGGGAGGCGTTGCTGGTGTGTAGGTCAACTGATAAAATGGCGTGAAGACATATTGCTAGAGGGAGAATGGAAAAAGTCCAATTGGAACAACGAACCAAAGGAATGGGTGCCGTCAGCACCAACTCAGCTGCCGAATGCCGTCGCAAAAGAGAGTAAAGGTATGGCATTAAAGGCTGCAAAGTTGTAGCTCTCACTGTGCAGCTACGTCATAAAATGCTCCTCACAAGCCACGTACGAGTGACGAAATGTGCGCTAAGTCTGCATCTCTTATTTTTTGGCACTATTCTGTAAACAACTGCCTCCTGTGTCAACTACTTTATTTTTGACTTTGAAAGGTGCTGCCTAATTTTTGCGCTCAATAAAAGAGAGAGGGCGAACACTATTCCGACTTTTTAAAAATCACCCTGCAAACAGTATGGCTACGTCACAAAGCATCCTATGACGCCAGATGAAGAGAACAGTAAAAACGGACCTTTCCTTGTACAACCACTGAACACATAAATACATGCATAACTATACATATATATACAAGTAGTACCATATATGTTTATGTAGATACGTATGCATGTTTTAAGTGTGTCACGCATTGCAATCATATTGGACTTCTTAGAAAGTTAGTAGGCCTCAAGCAGTTCTTTACTTCAACCCCATTAGACCCAAAATACATAAGAAATACACTGGACTTGTCTTTGGTTTTCTAAGGTGGCTTAAACATATTGATTTACGGTGCTGTGCATTGTTTTACCAACCCTAATAACTTGGTAGATCAATTTAAATTAATGCCGCTCCATCTATCATACAATACCATATATGTAGCATTTTTAAAGATTTACTATATATCTTTTGCCATTTTAATGCAATTTTCACTTCAAACAACTTACAAGAGATCAGCTTCAAAGCATTAACATTGCAATTCCGATTTTATTCTCAATATAGACGCTGCAACCTCAGAAATCCGGAAACTTTATGAATTATCATTATATTTATTTTAGGAATAATCGAAAATTTTGCAAGATGAATTTATATCCCATTTCAATACATACATATAAAGTATGGGACTTCTTCAAATGAGGAGTACTAATTACAACAACGACTTAAGACTATGTGAACCATTAAATAATTTAAAAAAATTTAAAAATTAATTAAAAAATAATTAATAAATAATAATTAGATAATTAATAAAATAAAAAATAAAAAGCAATACAAATAACATATATTTCCTTCAATAATGTTGTGCGGAGTTTTCGGTATTTTAATTAATTCAGATTTTACACATTTGTACTAAGCTCGAAAATACATGACAGCTCTTCGACCCTTTTGGCGTCTGCAGGAAGGGCAGCACTGGGCGTTGCTCGCTCCTAGACACATTAGGAAGAGAGATAGAGAGAGGGGCAAGAGAGTCGAGCACAAGAGAGAGGAGCAGAGCTTGCAGCATTGCTCTCGCAGCAACCAGCTGAGTTTCACTTTCAAGCAAGAGCCGCCCAAGCTGCCTATCTGCGATCATTACCGGCATTGCACGACGTCAGCGTCAACGACAACTCGGTGTATGTGTGTGTGTGTGTGTGTGTTTTTCTGTGTATAGGCATATGTGTGTGTGTGTGTTATCAGCAATGACAACTTCACATTCTGATGAGAAAAGAAAGCTTTAAAATTGGTCACAAGGCAAATGAAGTCCCCCAGGCCGCTATTTAAAGAGCGGAAGAGAGAGAAATGAGGAGAGGGGAGCCATTACAATGCGATGAGTCATTGCCATTTGTGGAGCAGTAAAAGCGCGATGGAAATGCATTCAGGGGTAAAATGAAAATGCCGGCAGCCTCGTAAAAATCATTGCTGGCCAAGCGGAAAACAAATGAGAATTCCAGCAACAAAATGCATAATTGCATAAATGCATGAAGAAAATCAGGAACGGCAGGTAAATGTAGGAAAATGCACGAGACATGGATGGAATCTGGTAAGAACCACATTAAAATTAACATTAACATTTCGAATTCGGTGCTCAGAAATACAAGTATGTTCGAAAGGGAATGCTCGATGAAGAATGAACGCATTAAGCATCAATATTGACGTCTTTGCACGCTCTTCATTTCTTTCGTTATGGATGATGTAATTATTTTTAGATACTCTTTATATGAACACCTTTCAAAGAAATATTTAAATATAGCCTTAAATCACATCTATCAAGGTTTCTTATTATCATTCAGTATTTTGTAGGGAGTGTAGAGAGGCCTTATGTATGGAAAAATCTTTAAATAAGATCTATATAATGTTAAGGCCATGCTAGTTCGACTATTGCCTGTGCCCATCCCCTTTTCATCAAACGAAAATAAACAATCGTTCCTATGAAATATATATGATACACATAGTGTGCCGATCTTAATATAACCTCCGATTATGGTGAGGCACTATATATAACTTATGTTTTTTTTTTTCAACTGCAAGCTTTCAAACTTTTGGTTTTCCTTCGAGTTATCTGCTGTGTGGCTTATTATTTATTCGCATTAGTGGAGGTCTGACTGTACAAAAGTACAGCAGAAGAGCCAGTCAGTTTTGTTTAAACAATGTAATATTTAATACACCTAATTCTGTTTTTACACGGTAGATTGGTTCCAGAAACAACCGTGTAAAAAAATACATTGATCATATGCACAAATAGGTGATTGGTTCCTTATCTTTAAATAAAAATATACGAAATTTTTAATTTTGAAACCGTGTTATATCAAAATAGTGTAAAAAAATACCGTGTAAAAACAGAATTGGGTGTATTTAATCTCAGGTCGTTGAAATTTGATTAAAAACAGATCAAGCAATTGCGCTACTTTGTAAGCATCTAAGCCGCTAATTAATCAACTTTTTGTGATAGAAATAGTTTAGTTTTGAGAACAATGTGAAGAGAATGTTTTATCATGATGTTTGGAGAATAATTCCAGGGGTGTAATTGTTTTGTAGTTGTTTGCTAATTAATCCTTTTATCTTTTGATCGAGTGCTGGCGCGTAAATTGGTTGCAAGAGGATTAGTGCCGATATGGCTGGATTAATTGTCATTTCTGAAATGTTAGCCGGTCAGTAATTCAAGCTTCCCCCTGCCATAGGGAAGGCACGAGCTCCGCATAATGCGGCCATCTCATTGGCGCCTAAAAAGCTGGCCGAGAGTACTGCGCATGCTCTGAAATGGTCGGGCGGCCGGCGAGGTGGCCCCCAGGGGCTTGGGTTGACGCCCACCGCCTGGCCACACGACCAATGGCCGTGTTGCGTTTTGGCCCGTTTTCGCCAGCAACTGTGACAGATGTCGAGTGTCCACATTCGCATTCGCATTCACATTCGCATCCACATCCACATCCGCGTCCGTGTTTGCTTCCAGTTGCAAATTCGTATGCCTATGTACTGGCAGTGTCGGTTTGAGCGTTTGGCGCCAACGTTGCGGCTTCCGTTCTTGATAGCAACGCATTTA